CCTCATTCAGATGATTTTATATGCTCCTTTACGCACCAGCTCTGTGGGAAAATTGGATCCTGGACAAAGGCACAAGTTTTAAAAAAAAGTGTGAGACATCTAGGATGAGTTTTTGACAATATTAATGTAAACTGCCATATGTTTATGTACATGTCCAACTGGTTTCCTCCTCCTATTTTCAGACTAGTGATGCCAGACTAGTGTTTTATCATGGGGTCACAGATACGCCCGTGTTCTGCCAGTGGTTCCAGATCTACAACAGACAACTGTGTGCGCATAGCATAGAGTATTTAGCTATAGAGAAGTACAATTCCATTATGAGAAAATCATAAAACAGAAAGAAAACACTAGACAAAAAATATATACAAATAAAAAAACTATTGTGCAGTCCCAAACAAAGCAAAGTACAAAAAAATTAAATTTAAATGAAAGCTGAAGGACATACAGTTCCTATGCAGTGGGGTTGATAAAGGTAAAGATAAGTTTGACCCAGACTAATGGAAGCATAGGATGTTCGGTAACATTTGGCATCCTAAACTTATTTACATGTGACAAAGTAGGCTACAGGTGTCACGATCGTCGGGAACAGAGGAGGACCAAGGCGCAGCGTTGAAGGTGAACATACTTTATTTTAATGAATATACGAACAAAACAACAAACGATAACGTGACGTCTACGGTTTAACACAAACCACACTGGAACAAGATCCCACAACTACTGTGGGAAAACAGCCTGTATAAATATGGTTCCCAATCAGAGACAACCAGCAACAGCTGACACTCGTTGCCTCTGATTGGGAACCACTCTGGCCAACCTAGAAATACAACTAATAGAAACAAATGAAACTCACACCCTGGCTCAACATACAAGTGTCCCCAGAGCCAGGGCGTGACAACAGGACCATATAGCGCTTCTACCCGAGTGATGCCCATCAAGTCTTTAGGAGCTACAGAGTCTTTTACATTTTTACTAACCAGGCATTAACCAAGACATATAGCTAGAATGGTATGGAGTGACAGTGCCAACATACATTTAATTTCAGATTCAACATAATATCGCTCCATAGACTCTATAGCAGGGGTGTCAAACGTCCGGCCCACGGGCCGGATCAGGCCCGCAAACGGGTTTAATCCGGCCCGCGAGATGATTTTGAAGAAAAAAAAAATAATAATAATAATAATTTTGTAAAGTATAAAAATGCGCTGCAATTTTTCAATAAAATAAACTGCTGTTCCAATTGCGTCCACTGGATGGCGCAATAGCAATTGTGTTAAGCAAGCAAACTGTTTATACCGGGGCAGAGCAAGTAGGTCAAGCACGTGCAGCCAATGAGCTACTTTGTTTTGCCCGCGATATTTATTACCGCTTCTACTTTTAACATTATGTGCTTTGGCACCCTCATTGCCCCAATATGTCTCTGTCAAAAAAGAGAAAAGTGGACGCAGAGTGTAGAGTGTTCCAAGAAAAATGGTCATCCTATTTATGCTGAAAGAATATAACCTTCGTCGCCACTATGTGAGTCTTCATGCCGACAAATATGACAACTTTCAAGGACAGCGGAGATGAGAGAAGGTGAATGAACTGTTGGCGGGTCTGAAGAAACAGCAGTCTGTGTTTACTCACAGCCGAGACATCAGTGACGCTGCAGTGAAAGCTAGCTACCTCATTGCTAATGAAATCGCAGTGGCTTCAAAACCATTTAGTGAGGGTGAATTTGTAAAAACATGCATGATGAAGGCAGCGGAGATTGTGTGCCCTGAAAAGCGGCAGGCTTTTGCAAATATCAGCCTGACAAGAAACACAGTTGCAAACAGGATTTCTGATCTTTCAGTGGATTTGGACAGCCAGTTGAAGCAAAAAGTAAAGTCATTTATTGCGTTTTCGGTTGCAATTGATGAAAGCACGGACATTACAGATGTTGCACAACTGGCCATTTTCATCCGCGGAGTTGATGACACATTGACCGTCACCGAGGAGTTCGTGGAGTTGGTGCCGATGACAGATACAACGACAGCAGCTGATATTTTTACCGCACTCGTCGGCGCGCTGGACAGGGTCGGAGTGGACTGGTCCCGCGCTGTCAGCCTGGCTACAGATGGTGCGCCCTCATTGATCGGGAAAAAAGCAGGCGTTGTGACAAAGTTCAGAGAGAAAGTGCAATCTGCAAATGGAGGACGTGATTTTTTGACTTTTCACTGTATTTTGCACCAGGAGGCTTTGTGTTGCAAGTCATTAAAGATGGATAACGTCATGAAGGTGGTCATCCAAACTGTTAATTTCATCCGATCCAGCAGCCTGAATCACCGTCAGTTTGACAGCCTTCTCAGAGAGAAAGACCACATCTATGGCCTGCCATACCACACTGAGGTAAGATGGTTAAGCCGAGGTGCTGTGCTGAGGCGTTTCTTTGATTTACGAGAAGAAATTGAACAGTTCATGGAAGAAAAGGGCAAACCAGTGTTAGAATTTCATTCCGCAGAATGGATGCAGGACCTTGCATTTATGGTGGATGTTACAGAGCACTTGAATAACTTGAACAAACAGCTGCAAGGGCGCAACAAAGTTGTCACGCAGTATTATGACAGCATACGTTCTTTCAAGTTGAAGCTGTCATTGTGGGAGACGCAACTTGCCGGTGGTGATGCAGCTCACTTCCCCTGTCTGAAAAATGTGTGCGCGACCCAACGTGGTAGACATGAAGCGGTTCAAAGATAAAATAACGGGACTGTTACGGGAGTTTGAGCAACGCTTTCAGATTTATGTTTATATGTTTTTATGTTGATGTGCTATTGTTTTTAATTGATTTTATTTTATTTGTATATTTAACCTATTCTTGACTCTGTGGTTCTTGCACTTGTTTGGGGAACAGGATTTCATTATTTGTATCTACATTTCTGCCTGAGAAATGACACCCTGATATAGTTCTGTGATCTGGGATATACTTCTGTGAATCACTGAGGCATTGTGTGTTTGTGTGTTCTTTGTCCTCAGAACTTTCAAATACCTTGAGGTGTTTTATGATTAAAAGTGATTGTTGTGCTTTTGGACACTGTCCTCAGGCTCCAGCTTTATGTTTATATGTTTTTATGTTGATGTGCTATTGTTTTTAATTGTTTTTATTTTATTTGTATATTTAACCTATTCTTGACTTTGTGGTTCTTGCACTTGTTTGGGGAACAGGATTTCATTATTTTTATCTACATTTCTGCCTGAGAAATGACACCCTGATATAGTTCTGTGATAAACTTATGTGAATCACTGAGGCATTGTGTGTTTGTGTGTTCTTTGTCCTCAGAACTTTCAAATAACTTGAGGTGTTTTATGATTAATAGTGATGTTGTGCTTTTGGACACTGTCCTCAGGCTCCAGCTTTATGTTTATATGTTTTTATGTTGATGTGCTATTGTTTTTAATTGATTTTATTTTATTTGTATATTTAACCTATTCTTGACTCTGTGGTTCTTGCACTTGTTTGGGGAACAGGATTTCATTATTTGTATCTACATTTCTGCCTGAGAAATGACACCCTGATATAGTTCTGTGATCTGTGATATACTTCTGTGAATCACTGAGGCATTGTGTGTTTGTGTGTTCTTTGTCCTCAGAACTTTCAAATACCTTGAGGTGTTTTATGATTAAAAGTGATTGTTGTGCTTTTGGACACTGTCCTCAGGCTCCAGCTTTATGTTTATATGTTTTTATGTTGATGTGCTATTGTTTTTAATTGTTTTTATTTTATTTGTATATTTAACCTATTCTTGACTCTGTGGTTCTTGCACTTGTTTGGGGAACAGGATTTCATTATTTGTATCTACATTTCTGCCTGAGAAATGACACCCTGATATAGTTCTGTGATATACTTCTGTGAATCACTGAGGCATTGTGTGTTTGTGTGTTCTTTGTCCTCAGAACTTTCAAATAACTTGAGGTGTTTTATGATTAATAGTGATGTTGTGCTTTTGGACACTGTCCTCAGGCTCCAGCTTTATGTTTATATGTTTTTATGTTGATGTGCTATTGTTTTTAATTGATTTTATTTTATTTGTATATTTAACCTATTCTTGACTCTGTGGTTCTTGCACTTGTTTGGGGAACAGGATTTCATTATTTTTATCTACATTTCTGCCTGAGAAATGACACCCTGATATAGTTCTGTGATCTGTGAAACAGTTCTGTTAATCACTGAGGCATTGTGTGTTTGTGTGTTCTTTTTCTTTAGAATTTTCAAATAAACTTGACGTGTTTTATGATTAATAGTGATGTTGTGCTTGTACTATTTTGGACACACTGTCCTCAGGCTCCAGCTTTATGTTGTATGTTGATCGTATTAAAACAAAGAAAACAATCTGAAGTTGTTGTTTTTAAGTTATATATACACCATGATTTTTCCGGTCCGGCCCACTTGGGAATAGATTTTCCTCCATGTGGCCCCTGAGCTAAAATGAGTTTGACACCCCTGCTCTAGAGTGCCTGGTTTGGCCAAAGATTACTACACATTGTGGCCCTCCATGAAAAAGACCAAACTGCTAGACTATTACATTGAATTACATTAAGTATTGGTCCTTGATATCAAATATATTTACTTTATACAGTACATAAATATAAAATGTACAGGTAGGAGCATATGTATAATAATATCACTTTATATTGTACACCAATGTCACAAGGATTCAATCAGATTGTGCACTTTGATTTGGGACTCACACACACTTGGTGAGGGAAAGGATAGAGTGCGGAAGAGGAAAGATCGAGGAAAGATACAGAAAAAAAAAAAATATATATATATATATAACAAAAGGTAAAGCAAAACACACAGTAAAACAAGGGAGTATAAACATTTTAAAAGAACACATTTAATCAAAACACACAGTTCAGAAATACACAGTCATCATACAAAGTCGACAAAAGTCACTCCAAAAACTGTCCCACCAAAGAAACAGCTGTCTAGTAGAGAGGATACAAAAGCAGCGTGGCGCAATCTACTGGCTTGGATGTCTACACTACAGCAGGCCGCCCAGATCGTTCTCTGCTGTATCCTTGTCCTTCTTGGGAGCCTCTTGTGGGTTATACTTGTTTTGATAGTCCTGGAGGATGGTGACCACGTCGTGATGGCCAAAATGCAAGGCCTCTTCCATTGGGGTGTTATCCCACCTACAGGGAAGATATATATACAGTGGGGGAAAAAAGTATTTAGTCAGCCACCAATTGTGCAAGTTCTCCCACTTAAAAAGATGAGAGAGGCCTGTAATTTTCATCATTGGTACACATCAACTATGACAGACAAATTGAGATTTTTTTTCTCCAGAAAAACACATTGTAGGATTTTTAATGAATTTATTTGCAAATTATGGTGGAAAATAAGTATTTGGTCACCTACAAACAAGCTAGATTTCTGGCTCTCACAGACCTGTAACTTCGTCTTTAAGAGGCTCCTCTGTCCTCCACTCGTTACCTGTATTAATGGCACCTGTTTGAACTTGTTATCAGTATAAAAGACACCTGTCCACAACCTCAAACAGTCACACTCCAAACTCCACTATGGCCAAGACCAAAGAGCTGTCAAAGGACACCAGAAACAAAATTGTAGACCTGTACCAGGGTGGGAAGACTGAATCTGCAATAGGTAAGCAGCTTGGTTTGAAGAAATCAACTGTGGGAGCAATTATTAGGAAATGGAAGACATACAAGACCACTGATAATCTCCCTCGATCTGGCGCTCCACGCAAGATCTCACCCCGTGGGGTCAAAATGATCACAAGAAAAAAAAAAATCCCAGAACCACACGGGGGGACCTAGTGAATGACCTGCAGAGAGCTGGGACCAAAGTAACAAAGCCTACCATCAGTAACACACTACGCCGCCAGGGACTCAAATCCTGCAGTGCCAGACGTGTCCCCCTGCTTAAGCCAGTACATGTCCAGTCTGGTCTGAAGTTTGCTAGAGTGCATTTGGATGATCCAGAAGAGGATTGGGAGAATGTCATATGGTCAGATGAAACCAAAATATAACTTTTGGTAAAAACTCAACTCGTCGTGTTTGGAGGACAAATAATGCTGAGTTGCATCCAAAGAACACCATACCTACTGTGAAGCATGGGGGTGGAAACATCATGCTTTGGGGCTGTTTTTCTGCAAAGGGACCAGGACGACTGATCCGTGTAAAGGAAAGAATGAATGGGGCCATGTATGGTGAGATTTTGAGTGAAAACCTCCTTCCATCAGCAAGGGCATTGAAGATGAAACGTGGCTGGGTCTTTCAGCATGACAATGATCCCAAACACACCGCCCGGGCAACGAAGGAGTGGCTTCGTAAGAAGCATTTCAAGGTCCTGGAGTGGCCTAGCCAGTCTCCAGATCTCAACCCCATAGAACATCTTTGGAGGGAGTTGAAAGTCCGTGTTGCCCAGCGACAGCCCCAAAACATCACTGCTCTAGAGGAGATCTGCATGGAGGAATGGGCCAAAATATCAGCAACAGTGTGTAAAAACCTTGTGAAGACTTACAGAAAACGTTTGACCTGTGTCATTGCCAACAAAGGGTATATAACAAAGTATTGAGAAACTTTTGTTATTGACCAAATACTTATTTTCCACCATAATTTACAAATAAATTCATTAAAAATGCTACAATGTGATTTTCTGGATTATTTTTTCTTATTTTGTCTGTCATAGTTGACGTGTACGTATGATGAAAATTACAGGCCTCTCTCATCTTTTTAAGTGGGAGAACTTGCACAATTGGTGGCTGACTAAATACTTTTTTCCCCCCACTGTAGATAGTTCCGATATCTATATAGATATACATAGATATCGACTCCGGGATGCTAACCTTCTAGGCAGAGTTGCAAAGAAAAAGCCATATCTCAGACTGGGCAATAAAAAGAAAAGATTAAGATGGGCAGTCTGAGATACGGCTTTTTCTTTGCAACTCTGCCTAGAAGGTCAGCATCCCGGAGTCGCCTCTTCACTGTTGACGTTGAGACTGGTGTTTTGCGGGTACTATTTAATGAAGCTGCCAGTTGAGGACCTGTTTCTCAAACTAGACACTCTAACGTATTTGTCCTCTTGCTCAGTTGTGCACCGGGGCCTCCCACTCCTCTTTCTATTCTGGTTAGAGCCAGTGTGCGCTGTTCTGTGAAGGGAGTTTCTTGGCAATTTCTCGCATGGAATAGCCTTCATTTCTCAGAACAAAAATAGACTGACGAGATACAGAAGAAAGTTATTTGTTTCTGGCCATTTTGAGCCTGTAATCGAACCCACAATTGCTGATGCTTCAGATACTCAACTAGTCTCAAGAAGGCCAGTTTTATTGCTTCTTTAATCAGCACAACAGTTTTCAGCTGTGCTAACATAATTGCAAAAGGGTTTTCTAATGATCAATTGTGATACAGCCTGGAATCGAACCAGGGTCTATAGTGAAGCACTATAGACCCTAGCACTGAGATGCAGTGCCTTAGACCGCTGCACCACTCGGGAGCCGTGTGACTGACTGGGGTTGGACTGGCCTACAAAGGCATTAGTTCTGGGAGCTAACACAACTCTTCAGGTGTGAATATGCTAGGGTACAGTTCAAATAAATCCCTAATGGTCGAACATAAGTGTGCTTTTGAGTGGGAATACATTGTAGACGCCTACTCAAGTATATGATAGTCTCTCATCCACCCACACCTACCTATCCACCCAAAACACACACACAGATAAGACAGACAGGCAGACAGACAAAGTTCCTGTGGTCATACCTATCCCTGGGAACAGGGTTCACCTTGCACACCTCCAAGAGGAAGCGCACCACCTCTGCATGTCCTGAAAGTAGAGCAGATGACAGAGTTATTTAAGAAACAAACACACATTCCTACGCACTTTCTCTCTCAAACACTGCAGCAAAGACGTCAAACACTACACAGTGCAGCTGCCGAGGGACAGCAAATTAACACTACAACACAGAGGGGGATGAGTCTTCCAAACACTCCCAGAGGACCCTGACACACACACAATCTGTCCCTGTGTGTGACTGGAAAAGGATAATAATAATAAGCCATTTAGCAGACGCTTTTATCCAAAGCGACTTACAGTCATGCGTGCATACATTTTTGTGTATGGGTGGTCCCGGGGATCGAACCCACTACCTTGGCGTTACAAGCGCCGTGCTCTACCAGCTGAGCTACAGAGGACCACAAAAGGAGGCTGCGAGAAGTACCTTCTACTGCTGCCACATGTAAAGCCGTCCTGGAGTAATAGTCCTTCTGCTCCATGTCTATGGAGGACAGGGCAAACCTGCAGACATACAGAAACAGGTCAGCAGTGTCACGAGATGGAAGATAACGGCCAAAGAAAGAAGACGGAAGTAAGTCAGAGATGCAAGAGAAGATTTATCACTATGAATAAAGATCTAATTATTCCATTGTCATGAAATTAACATGATTAAAAAATGTAATCTTTTGCATATCATGGACAGCAGGATTTCAGTGCCGCTGTACACACTGAGGGAGAATCAGTATGTTTGGTGTGTTTCTGTGAATTTGTGTGTGTGTGTGTGTTAAAGAAGAGTGTGTAAGAGAGTTGCATACTTTACCTCCTTAGTGCTGAGACGTCTCCGGTGTAAGCGGCAAACAGGAGGTTGATGACAGACTTGACCTGGAGAGAAAAAGGAAAGCAGTTTGTGGAACCAGGCCAACACACACAGGCAGCCAGGGGGTGTGGGGGGGATATGTGCCAGCTAAAGGAGAAGCAGAGTCTGCCAAACCCATCAAATCAGGACTTCTAGATACCAATAAACTCCTAACAAAACCACAAGGCAATGGCAGTATTACTTTAATTATGTGAAATTGAAAAATATATGGCAGATTGAGGGATTTCTCATTTACTGTATTAACCTGAAGTAAAATGCTACAGCTAGCCTCTCATGAAGTCAGCAATAACTAGGAAACTAAATGAGAAAAAGTAAGAAAACTACGTTAAAACAAATATTAAACTAATTAAAGCCGACAGGAATAATGCTAAGAATGCAGTTGTAGTGCATTGTAAGACTTTCCCGAAGTTCTTATTACCACTTTATAATGTCTAAGCAGGGGATATTGCCAGCCTCATTAGCCAATGTTTTCTATCTGCCACCCAGTCTATAAGAGACTTCTTAAGAAGCCTCCAGTAATGTTTGAGGAGCTACCAGTATCGATTACAGACCAAATACTAGGGTTGGATTCTGGCAGTGGGTTTTTAAAGAGTTGATTGGAGAAATAAAGGTAGAGATGCATATATTGGGTGTAACACTATGGCACTAGCATAGGAATAGAATGATGGAATACAATTTGAGCTTATTCTCTTTTGGTCCGTTCACACTATACTTACTTGAAGTTCCCATGATTTAACAGACTAAGTGTGGGTTTTATGGGAGGGAAAGCAGTCTAAATTGAAGGCCTTGCTGTATTGCAAGCTATTGGTCTGCAGTAACCTTCTCTAATCAGTGCTGGGGTATCAAAAGCATAAAACTCTTGCTTCACATTCACAACAAACCAGTAAACCAATAAATTAATGCATTACTCAATTAATGACAATATTGAGTTATTACCAGTTGAGAAATGTTTTACTTGGGGAGGAACAGTTGTGCAATATAACATATTTGATGCATTTTGATGAGGCTGCACAATGCTTTCCAATGCAGAGACACAACTGCCCAGAACAGAATATAAAGGAGCTCCACATCACAGTAGAACACCAATCAGAACAGAATGAAGCAGGGCAAAACTCAGCATAGACCTAAGTTGCATAGAGCAGAACTGAACACAGTAGAATAGAGTAGAGCACAGGCATTTCTAGCAGATCAGTTGCACACAACTCGGTAGCAGAACAGAACTAGCTAGATCAGAAAATAACATATATAAAATGAGGTAGCGGTAGAGCAGAGAGTTCCGACAGGACCACATGAAACACTCACCTACAGCTCTTAACCATCACTGGGCTGCATTCAGCAGGGCACAACATCGTGAAACTTTCAGGTAGAAATATATTGTGTAGAACAAATAAGCCACTCTGACATGTAGAATAAAAAATCATGTCAGCACTGTTCCTACAAAACATGGCTCTGCTCTATACACCAATTTCATGAGGTCTTTAAATAATCTCTCCACATCTGTGATCAAATTAACACAGTGGTGTTCTCACATCTTCACGTCTAGAGACATGTTTGTGCGAGACGAGGGGATGTTGCATAAAACACCAGTCAGATTTGGATCAAACCGTCTGGATGAAACAGCACTGAGGTTTTTGCTGTGGATAAAGCACCCACTGCCTGTCTTTTTTCTCCTGAATCCTCACCCCCAATCCCCATCCGAAAAAAAGACTTAAAAGCAAGTAGCACAGAGGCAGAGGAGAGAGACAGAGAGAGGTAGTGACTGCTTCTCAAAGACAGCGAGAGTTCACATGGTGTGGTACAGCCTGAGAGCAGTGCAACATTTTTCAACCCACAGTCATCAACAAACATGGGCTATGTAGGCTAGTTTGGATAAAAACACATGTAAACACACCCAATGTGGGGCTGAGAATATCTGAAATACTTTGTTCATACGAGGTCAGGGAGTTGTTTCGGACAGAAATGGTTTTGACCAATAAGAGGCCAGACACAGACAAGAGTCGCTTAAACAAGCCCTCTCTTAGAATTGTGCCAATAGGGGAATTATAACACCACCCACTGGGCACAGACATCAATTCAATGTCTATTCCACGTTGGTTCAACGTAATTTCATTGAAATGACATGGAAACAACGTTGATTCAACCGGTGTGTACCCAGTGGGCATTGGCATGTGACCAACATTGCTACCGCCATAGAAATATAATCACTCTAATTATATTTCTATGGCAGTGACTATGTCTCTCCCACACGGGTATTGTACTGTGTGTTTAAATCCAAATCTGGCCTATATGTCAGCCCAGCCCTGCATAGACACGGTCAAGTAGGTGAGATCACACTGCAACATAACAAGCAAACACAGCATGTCAAGGGTAGTCCAGCACAGTCCCATACAAAAATGTCTAAAATGTATTCAAAAGTGTATACAATTTATTATATTAATACAGAACTGTCCAAAAAGAGGCTAATTTTGACGTATTGCTAAATAACTTAAAACTACTTGGACAGTTATTACCCCCTTATCCCATTTAAGCCAAATCAGTGACTTTTCGGTGAAAGTTTGTTATGAGTGTGCTGGGTGGTTCCTTGAGAGGCTGAAAAAGAATGGCTACAACATAAATACAATACAACAACCATACTATACAGACATACATCATACAGCAAGGAACACAGTTGCCAACAAAGCAAGCACACTTGACTTTACTCAACTCACCAAATAAAAACAGGTTTTAAAACAATGCTGCAAGACCGGAGCACAAGCATACAGACCAAGCTCAAACAGGTCAATCACAATGCATTCTGGGGGTCTCTTCTGATTAGTTCCATTTACTCTGATCTCAGGGGTGAAAGGGTACACTGCATACCACACAAGACCCCTCCAAAATCACTCACCCCCTCACCTCTCCGTTACCTGCTCAGGTTGAACTGTGACCTGAAGAGTCAAACCTAGTCACAGAAACAGTAGCACTTTCAAACGTTTTTATGGCACAGAAATGACCAGGTAAATTATATGGTAAAATGGTAATTACATAATAATAACGAACAAGTTTACTTTAAATTATTGATTGTTACAGATTGTTTAGGATTTATTAAAACTGCTAGCTACTGTTTTAGTACCAACCAGATACGTAGTTACCAATTGTGTTGAAAGTAAGTACCAGAAAGTACCTATTGATACCACATAAAGTCCTAGTAAATGAATACCAGGTGAATAGCAGTGCAAACAATATCGTAACATAAAGTACCATCACAAAATCTTCTGTTAGCCAAGAAACTAAAAGGGCTGAACAACTTAGTTTCAGTTGAGTTCATTTGAGTTAAAACCTGTTAAACTCTGAGCGGTTGTTTTGGACCTGGTACAGAGTCCGGCAAATTTGGGGACTGCTGGCAATGTCATAAGAATCTCCCGCCCTCACCACCTACCCCCATAAAGGCCAAAAATCATGTGTCATGGTCATATTCGTAGAGTTTGCAATGTAGGTCAAGTCACCAAGTGCATACATTTAGTATGCAAGGAAAGGGTACATCCTGATGGTCATTGTAAAGCAATGCATTTCCTTCTCCATCCACATTACCTTGTATGCCTCCTCCACATGCACTGTTGATCTATTTCACATGTTTACAATAGGAAAAGTGAATAGGAAAAGAAGTTTGAAGTTTCTTCAACTGTCTGTGTCTTATTTCAAAAAAGGCTGTGGCTGCGAATACTGAGTTTTCGCCCTCGCCCCTCCAGAAACCTCTTTCTCAAAGCTAAGGATCCGGATCACGTTCAGTGCATGTGTTATTTTACGCACACTACGTAGCTGCTGCTAACACTCCCCCCTCCCTTTACATTTCTCTCTACTCACCCTCTTCTGAACCATGATCTCTGACTCATATTTCTGAACAGCTGAAATAAAAATTTGAACTAATATTCCTAAAATATTTATTGAAGGCTATACAACCTTCTCTGTCTGTTGTAACATATATTGCAGTTGCACAAGCAGGACACTACACATTGCAAAAACCATCAGCGTTTTGTGTGATGATATAGGCTAATCTTTATAGTTGCTGCCATATCGTAGCCACTAGCCAGAGCTCCTGAAAAAAGAACGTAACTCCCCACTTCTGAGTTTTGCATTGAGGCAAAAAACGATCTGCGTTTTAACCACACACAGGCCCTACTAACTGCTATTTAGCTTCTCAATGATCATGAAAGTACCACACGAGTAGGCTACCTAGTGGTTCCACCTCTGGGCAGCCAAATGTTCTAGATAGCCCGAGCATGTGTATCTGGACCGATAACCAGTCTGACTATGGGCGAGTGATAATCTTCATAGTTATGGTGCCATATCGTAGTGAGAGTTGCTGAAAAAAGAACTAGCCAATTTTTACAATGATAATGAGAAAATAATCCAGATTTTGACTGCCTGTTGTGTCTTCCCTGTGTTTTATATACTTTCCTAAATATACTATTACAACAGACAAAGTTTATACGAACATGTCGATCATGTCTATGTACAACATGATAGCTGCATATAGCCTAAACACACCTCCTGAAGAAAAGAGCATGAAATCGAGCCGAAGCTACCTAGGCAGAGTGGGCAGCAGCTACGTAAAAAAATATCCTGCACTTGCACAGAAATCGCTTACAATAGCCACAGAAAAATCCGGAACCACAGCCACCAAAACAAAAACTTGATAAACTGAAAGCTTGAAAACCCGTTCAGCCATTTTGGCACAGTGACTCAAATAAAATCGAATCAAATGTTAAGGGCCTTCCTCTGACACTGCCTGGTATAGAGGTCCTGGATGGCAAGGAGCTTGGCCTCAGTGATGTACTGGGCTGCACACACTATCGTCTGTAGCGCCTTGCGATCGGATGCCAAGCAGTTGCCATACCAAGCGGTGATGCAGCCAGTCAAGATGCTCTCAATGGTGCAGCTGTATAACTTTTTGATGATCTGAGACCCATGCCAAATCTTTTCAGCCTCCTGAGGGGGGAGGAGGCATTGTCATGTCCTCTTCACG